AGATGTGTGTGAAAACATATATGCAAAGATTTGAATTCTGCTTTTTCTCCTTCTCCTCCTTTGCGGTATGGCAGCCCATTAATGGAAAATGCTTGCAAGAAACTGCTTTTCTGGATCAGAATGTTTCCTCTCAGTTGCTGGCAGCTCATGCCATCAAGTCTGAGTATAAAGATATGACTTCTGTCTATTTTATATTGCCTGCCAGCAGGAGCACTGATGGAGTGAAAGTTTGAAATGACTGTAATTTATTGCCTCCCAGTTATCAAGCGCATCAGTCTTGTCTTTCTGGCGTTTCCTTTCCACAAAAGCAGTTTCTAAAAAAGACTGCACATATTATTGTGAAAATACTCAAATAAGTTAAATTGGAGTTACGAATCCTCTTTTAGCAACAAGATGCAGTTCTATTGTTATAATATTTTGATTTTTAGTTACCTTTTTTAAATTACATTGTATAATCTTCAGTTTCAGCTTTCCTTCCCACACTCAAACCACTGTGATTTATTATCAGCATTGCTAATCAAATGCATTCTGTGACAGGAAGGACAACATAAATAATTGCAGGTAAAAGTCTAGTTGTTCCTAGACCTGTGTTGTAGTCCTGCTTTGCACAGTAGGTGTTCACAGCTTAAACAAACATGTTCCATAACTGAGATCTTGTCTTGTTTCTTTCCCTCTCGTGCCCCCCTGCTTCACAGCTGTGCAATGGAGGTTCTGTCACAGAGCTTGTCAAAGGCCTGCTGAAGTGTGGCCAACGGTTGGATGAAGCTATAATCTCATACATCTTATGTGGTGCTCTCCTGGTAAGGATGTTCACTGGGCTTGTAACGACAGCAGAGGGTGCAATTTACTCATCTCATACATACGTTTTTCCCTTTATAAAGTATGGTAATGTTCACAATATTATGTGGGCTGTTATAGCAGCAGGGGTTATATCAAGCATGTAATCCAGTGGACAGATGTTCCTATAGAGTATGTGCAGATTGTCTTCATTACATTTCCTAATAGTAGGGTAATTGTTTTTAAATAAGAGAGTAAACTTATTTTTTGTTACTGCTGGCATATAGGGCCTTCAGCATTTACACAATAACCGGATCATTCATCGGGATGTCAAAGGGAACAACATTCTCCTGACAACAGAAGGTGGAGTCAAGCTCGTTGACTTTGGTAATGATTACTTCCCGTTTGTTTTCCTGATATACGCAGTTTAGTGGAAGGCATCTGTTTACTTTCCACTGAGAGGGCAGAATGCCATAGTGAAGAGACTTTTCCAGGAGGCTACTCAGCATTAATTTAGGAGGAGAACGGGAAAAGCAACCTGATACAGCAAGAGTAAAAATTCTAACCAAAAGTCAGTTACAGACTTTTAACTTGAAAACTTAAATACAACACTTTAATAACCTAAAAATAGTTCCAGAGGTGCCATTTTGTTTACAAAGCTCTTTTGCATTTCACAAGGAATGTCAGTTTCAGGGCAGTTGTCCTTCTGATTTGAATTTAAATATTCCATCTTTTGCATATGAAAAGGAATCATTCTTGTCTCTCAAATGACTTTTACTAGCCTGGAGCACATTTATTCCCTCTGAGCAGAAGACAAAATAGCCCCCTGGGTCCAAAAACCAACATCCATTTAATTTGTGATTATTGCTGTTAGATATGGACATGGCCACTTTGGAAACATCATTAAGAAACGGGAGAGAGACAGACAGACAGACAGGCAGAAGGACTTGGCAATAGAATTGAATTCAGGTCAACTCTTTTTTCCTCTAAATATGTGCTTGGAGAAATAAGGAGATGCTGTAGTCCCTCAGATGAGTATGTAGTGGAATGAACAATTATATTAATGGTAACAGGAAAAAAGATTATTGGTAGTGTATGATTTATTAGTGAAACCATATAATGCATCAGGTAATCATTTTTGAAAATGATATTGTGTGAATAACAGTTGTTTGCTTAACAGTGCATGAAGGTAAACAAAAACATTCACAAAATGAGAGTAGCATAAAATGGCATGTCAGAAATCCTGCAGATAGTAATAGTACAAAAAGTTCCAAAAACATGAAATGTGTACAGTGCAAAACATATTTAATACTGATGATGTCACAGTAGTATAAATTTAACAAAAAAAATCTGCTGAAGATTATGAAGTAGGTTTGGAAGCAGGTGTCTCTAGTACCTTCTAGGGACAGAAATTCATTATGTTGAATGGTAGAGGAAACAATTAAAATAGTGCTGAGAGAAATGAGTGGCCTGAAGCAAAACTTGCAGTGAGTCTCTGGGCTAGTAGGACAAAAAAAATGACTTTTCATTTGAGGGAGTTTCACCAGTAGGATCTTTATTCATAACTACTCCCTTCTGGGAAGGGTTGATTTTTCTCTCCAAAGCAAAAAAAAAAAAAAAAAAAAAAAAATCAGACATATGAAAGGCATTATCAGCAGCTGAAGCTCGGTTTTGGAGCTGTTGTTTTCAAGGGCAAACGTGTGTGCAGCAAATCCAGGTGCCACTTTCTCCAAATCTGAGAATTCCAACTTCTTGGTGCCCTGTGGAGGGATATCAGTGGAGGTGTCTTTTTCCATATTTAGGGTGGTTTTTTTCTGTTTTAAGCTAAAACAATAACAACTCTAGGAAATTATAACAAATATGACTACCTCCAGAAAAAAGACCTGAGCTAACTGCTTGACAGTCAGGAAATGTCAAGATGCCCACATATCTTTGTGCTACCCATCTGAAGAAGCATCATGCTGCATACTTTCATTAAGTTGCTATTTTTCCCTGCAGCCCACTGTCTTAGTCACAAAGAGGACTCTGGGAATCGGATTGAGTCACTGGGTCTGTTGTCTATAGAAACATGTGTTTCATTTGTTGCAGAAATTGGAGGATGTATAGTGAAAGATACAAGGAGTTCGGGAAGAAAAAGGTCTCAATTGCATGATACTAATTTGGAGTCTATTCTTGCTTCTGCCACGATGATGTTGGCAAGTCGCTTGTTATCAAACTTTTTAGAAGTAGCCACTGTGTACTCCTCATTTTCCTAGTATCTGGTCCGAAACATCTTGTCCTCCTTTGCAGAAGAGCAAATTGTTCTTGAACTGCAGCTGAGAACTATTATCGCTCTACTTGAAGTATGTGGAGTGCCTGAAGACTGAAAGATCTCAGATTGAGTACCCAAAAACAGTGAATGCATTTGATAATTTTAGATTAATATCTGGGGTTAATAATCCTCTCCCATTTCACAGGAATGTTAAGGAGTTTTATTGTTTGATAAGGAGGGAAGGAAACGTATCAAAAGGAAAGGAAAATAAGAATTCTAGATTTAGTATAAGATTCATTATAGTAAATAATGGCCTGGAACTCAAACTCATGGGGATAAAAAGAAATATTCCATAGCTATCCACTCATTGAGCACTATCCATTCTGTCCATGGAAAGAGGCAGAATCCTCTGGTTAAGAACAAAAAAAAAAATAGATTTCATAACTAAAGGCTGTACATATGGCTGTTGGGTCACAGGTAGCATTACACAGACATTGTTAATTGAGGTATTTCTTTACCTTTGTTGGATGACTTTGCAACTTGGCTTTTCAATGTAATACACGTTTTCCCCCTCAACTGCTCTCAGCAGCTTGGTATATTTGAATAAATGTTGGTCACGGTGTAAGTTGACCTGAAATGTCTGCAACTTATAATTCATTCATGCTCTCTTGTGCTCTCTCTCTTGCGCTCTCTCAGCTCTTTGGAATTCTGTATTGTTTTGAAGTGTCCATAGACAGCAGCGACAAATTAGGCTAGCTGAAGAGAAATCAGAGTTAAATGCACAGAGGCTTGCTGTAGGTTCCAGCCATTAACTGTTTCACAGTGGTAACCTGGAAGTGACTGAAGGGTTGCAATCACACTGAAATGAAAAATAAATACAATATTGAATCTTGGAGCAGGCAATTTGATTATTTAACTTAGAGATTATAACTGAGTCTCAATTTCTTATTTATTGGCAGCAAGCACAAATTCTGTTACATGTGTTTCTACCCATTCTTCTTTGTGGGTAATACCATAGGAGCAGACCACTGTGTGTGTGGGTTTTTTTTTTTACTTTTTTTTTTTTTTAAACAGTGTTCATGTGAAATATTTAAGTCAACATTGGTTTTGTGTCAGCTAGTTGGAATGCTCCTGAACTCTACAATTCAATTATACTTTGACCAGAAAACAGGAAAAGATGTATTGTGGAAGTTCATTTTGATTTGTTAATGTAGTTTGATTTCACTCCATTTTCTTCCTTCCTTTTTTCAGCTTAGCTTCAGTAGTCCAGCCCCAGGCAGCAAAGAACTGAAGCACAGGCTTTGTTTTAAGCATATGCTTAACTCAGTGTGAGTTTAAGCTTGTGCTTTTCTCGCTAGGGAAGGATTTAAGTGAGTGCATAAATGTTTTGTTGAAATGTAGCCTCTGCAAATACTCCAGTGATTAAGTTTGCTGCCAGCAATGTTCAGGGAGTGAATTTCATCTGGACTTCGGGCAATATTTCTGGAACAGAAGTTTTAAAGTCATATTGTCATTTGGACAGTTCCAGTTTATATTCAGGAAAACAACAGAAAGACACGTCTCTGATTTTAGGTTGCCAGTTAAGTATTTTGAATTTGAAAGACAGTCCTTCAGACTGAGAGTCATTCACAAAAAACAAGAATTCTGAAAGGAAACAGCAAGCTGTGATCTGCCTGTCACGAGCTATGATTAAAGTAAAAAATGAAATTAATCAGATAAAGAATTCAGTACAAATGATGCATCTGCTTTGGCCAGGTGTTCTGCTACTGTGCTCTCATGCTTGGGGTTTGTTTTCTAGACACTTGAAATAAACTGACTGAAATGACATAATGAATTTGAAGCCAGGTTTGGATCTGTTTTACTGTAGGTGTTTCAGCCCAGCTCACCAGCACGCGGCTGCGTAGAAACACCTCAGTGGGAACACCCTTTTGGATGGCACCTGAGGTAGGCAAACATTTTCTTAATCCTATCTGTGTTGTCTCTATGCATTGCAATGCACGCTTTGTTGCCGTTTCCACGTAGTCTGAAAAAATTATCTTTTCTTTCCCTGCTATGGCTGTATTTTTACTTCCCTCTACATCTGTGGCCCCTGCTCAGTAAGATAAACATACTGTTAGAATATACAAAATGGATTCCTTTAATAGTAGTTGTCAATATTATCTTCTCTGTAATGTTTCCACAGAAGTATAGATAATCTGTAAATAACTGAGGGTTTCCTTGAAGATTTTGTGACTTTTCCAATCAAACACTGTATTTTAGCTCTATGTAATTCTGTAGATCCATTTCTTAGGTGAAGAGTTCCAATATGGCATATTAAGGGAAGCCTTTTGCAAAATGGTCAGATATATAGTAGATCGGGGTCTACAGCTGAGACCCTGGGGTGGTGGTGGTGGAGTTCCTGAATCTGCAGTGCTGCAGCCTCCTGATATTCCACAGATACAGGGACTGATCCTCTGCCGGTCTTAAAGTTTCCGATGTTGTTCTGGTCCTGTATGATCTTACACAGCGTGAATGACACCAGAGGTTAGCATCTGTGTACATTTTATGATTTCCCTTACACATGAAAAGGTTTCTGGTCTGAGAAAATACATGCAGTTTTCCTACAGTTTGCTAATTGATATATTTTGTTGATCCATTCCTTCAGTGAGGATGGCTGTTGTGGCTTCACTGAGCATGAGAAAGGTACATTAAGGAAATGGTAGTTAATATGCTGCTTATGTGGGCTAGTAGGAGCTAAAACTTTTAACACTCTTCCTGATATACTGCTATATTGACTTAAACAACCTCCATGTTTAAAAGAAGGGTTACATTAATGAGGATATAATGTCCACCGAACTGAAATATGTGTAGAGAATAGCAATAGTAGGTATATTGCATGCAGAATGGCATCTGGTAGTAATTTTTGACTTGTCTATCTTTTGAAAATCTTAATGTATTTACAGACGTTTAGTTCTCCTTCTCCACCAGTGTTCTGTCAGACATTCAAAATGTTCTGCAGATTTTACTTCAGGGGCGTTATGTTTTGGTGTGTTTGTGGAAAAGACAAGCAGAGAAAAGACGAATTCCCATACTCTAGTTGTGCTAGACTAGAGGACTCTGCAAAACCCTGACTCAGCCATTTATTTAACGTTAATAATAGACTGTCTTGTGAACTATTTTGGCCAAAAGAAGTTGTAATAAATTAAGTTTTTCAAGGGCGCTGGGCCTCAACATTGCATAGTCCAGAGTAGTCATTTTCATGTTGATATCATGGAAGCAGTCATAGTATGAAGGTAAACATTGAAATGGAAGTAATTTTTTACTAAGAAAGAGCAATAGCTTTCAGGTTTAGTCAATCTGTTGCAATATATACTGCTCCTCCCAGATTTTTCAAAGGCCATAGGGAAAGAGCGGTAGCTAATGAAAAAATATGAAAAAAAGAGCGAGAGAAAGCCTAACCTTTGTGGTTTAAAAAAAAATTCCCACCACTGAACGGTTGCAGGTGTCGATGTGGTAGTACACATGGCAAGGTGAAAAAGCAACTTGTGCATATTCTAGTAAAATTTCATCAGGAGTTTATTCTCAGAGAATTAAAAAGCAGTCAGTGCTGCACAATTAATTTTAATCCATGTTTTGATTATTGCTTTTTTGCTTTAGCAAGATTTATTTAAAAACAAAATGACACTGGTAACTGACTTTCTTGCTTCTGCTGTCTCATTGCTTGTTTCTGATTATTATTCTGTACTAACCAAAAGACTTGCATGTTAACATGCAATTGGTATTTGTTCTTGGTATGCGTAGTTTGATCTTGGTTTGTATTAGATAGAACTTTTGGTGTGTTTTAACCATTTTTCCTGTCCATGGTAGCCATCCACGTTTCCATGTGGCTCCAAGCTTATATTTTAGAAGTCTTTTTATTGAAAAATTAAATTATTTAGCCAGCTCCCTCCCTGTCTGTAGCCAGGCTGCTGACATCTGCTTAGCTATGGCATGCTGTCACCAATGGGAAGCTCCCAGCTGGCATGCTGGGAGCATAAAAAAAATCACATGGGAGAGAAGACAGGAGAAAGAAGCTTTGTTGTAACAATTTGAGTACTGTGAAACTGTGAATTAGGTAGATGGGATGAATGCTGGGTGGTCATAGCAGGATAGAGCATGAGCCAGGACAGGCTAGAGTTATAGCTGGTTTGACTTTAGGCGGTGGTGCATGGCCTTTGTATGTTTCTAAGTAGCAAAACTTACAAGTAAGAATGTTTTCAGTGGCCGGGGACACGTGCACTAAGACTCTTGGACTAGTGTAGATTAAAAATGAAGAAAAATAATCTTCAGGGGACCTAGGAAAGTACCTTAGACCATATTTTTATATCTCCCTCTCCAGACTTAACCCTTTTCCTTCCATTTCATGAAACTTTCACAAGTTTGAGTGTACAGTTGAATAAAAGCCCTGTATGCACGGGTCCCTAAAGTTGGGGTGGAAGATGTTAGTCTTGACCCTTCCCCTTTAAGAAGCAACAGATATTTTCATAAGGTATGAATTTTAAAAATTAAAAAATAGTGAACGAAATGGGAGGGGTCTGTTTCTTTGTAAGTTGTTAAATCTAAATAGCAGTATTGCCCTCAACAGAATTGAGGCTATATTTACTTGAGTTTTCGGGAATTTGGGATAGATCTTAGAGTTTGCATCTGTTAAGCACGCACAAATCCTTCTGTATGGCAAACAATTTAAAGTATCATACAAGCATTTGTTTCTTTTAAAATATTTTATATTTCCATCTGCTCCTCTTTCTCTTCCTAAGGAAGGCTGGTTATAGCTGAGCAGAGAAATGAAACTGCTGTAACGAATCCAAAATTGATCTCATACAGTCTCACAAAGAACGGTTGATGTTTTACCATCTCCATAACAACCAGTTTACGTCACAAAGGAGACACGAGATACCTTAGTAACTACTGTGCAAGCATTATTTATGAAATCACCTTGGTTGGAGACATTCTGAAACCTTTATAAAAAGTATACTCACTTAGACAATAATGGGTATATTTTAAAATATTTTATATTTATAATTTATAAATAATTTATAAATTAAAAAGCTAATATTTATATTAGCTCCATGCGCTTGCAGTTATGTTGATAACATAGATATAATCTTGTGGGGTTGCAGATGCTGCTGGATTTTTTTTCTAGCTGAAACAGCAGTTACGGAGGGCTTGTCAAACTTCTATATAGTGTGCTTAAGGAAAGAAAAAAAAAGCAGAGGAAAACATTGCAGTACCACTGTGCCTTGAGCCTAGGTCCCTGCATTAAGTGTGTTTACTTAAGAGGCTGTAATTGCCTCTGTGTTTTGAGTTCCTTCATGAAATAGGGTTTACAGATTGGGGGGGAAGGGGTGAAGTGTGTGTATTTACTGCTGAGTAATAAATCTGTGGGTCAGGAACGAAACACGTCAATTACATTAGCACTAGTAGTGTTGAAGCCATGGCAATCTCATGGAATAAAGCAAAATAGGTTTTTGTGCTTGAGAGCTCATATGTTTTCTTACTGTATCAGTTGGTTAAATAAGAGGTATGACATTTCCCTGCAAATGTTGTCTGTTGCCAGAGCAGTTTAATGGTCTCAGGGATATTTCACTTTGGTGAGTTTAAAAAGAAAAAAAAACCTGATCACTTGCAGCTGACAAAGCACAATTGCCTACTAAGTTTCGATGGATAAATGTTAATTGAGATAATTTATCATGAGAATTATTTAAAATATACGATACCTGTTACATTGGTAACATTTCTAACAATGTAATCATCCTCTGATACACTGTAGAAAGATTTTTTGAATAAAGGATGGTCATAAAAAAGGAACTGAAATCCAAATAAGAAAAATGGGAATATGGAGCCAACATTAGCCGCAAATTTGCTCTTGTGTGAATGTGTTTGAGGAGAGAGACAGAGATATGGATAGAGAGATTCTGTTTGGTCTGGATAATTCAGCATCCCCACTGCTGCTAAAGGCTATGATGAAAGACTTTTTTTCTTTTTAGAGTGCATAGGACTTTTGAGAATGTTTAATTTTATTTTTGCCACCTAAATAAAATGAGTTGCATAATGTTCTGGTGGGGCACAGGAATTTGGTTGGTTTATTTCATTTGACTTTTGCACAGTTAGCAGTTTTGTTCTCCTTGCAGCAAGGGTAACAGTCTTGTGCCACATTCATTTTTCATACGCAGCGCTCTGCTTTCAGCATTGTGCTCATGCACCTCATAAGCTGCTTAGTTAGCTACGTCAGCTGAGTATACCACCGCCTTTTCTTCAAGAGCATCAACTCTTTTAACATCAAGCTCCTTCCTGCTGGTGGGTCACATGCTAATTGTGTAGCTAATTGTCTGCATCTACACTACTACAGTCTACTATATTCTATGTGCTTACAGCTATACTTTGTATGTAACTGTATGTATGTAACTGTATGTAACTGAGGCAAAATGAAAGGAAATTCACTTCTAATAATTCCAGGCAAACTTCAAAAGGTTTGATGTATTGTTTCAGCTGTATAGCTGCTGTATGTATAGCTACTCTCTGCCCAAAAAGTCCGTATGAGCACAGTACAGATGACAGCTAGTTCTCCATATTATCTGTTTTCCTTCTTTTTATATCCGCCTGTGATCTAGGTATGGGCTTGCTGAAGTTCAAAGAAAACTTTGCATTGGTTTCAAAACAAGTAGAATTATACTCTTGAATATACAACCTTCTTGTCAGGGAGTGAATCGTCTTGTATACATCTGAAGTGTTGTGTTTCTGTAAAAGTGATAAATTACCCAGAATGCCTGACCACCAATTTCTCTAAATTCCCTCCAGTTAGCGTGACTTATTTATTTCTGTGCTATCTTTGCCAAACCAATGAATCCCCCTACACTGTCCCACTGTGACCCTCAAAACAATCAATGAATGTTTTGCTGCCACTACCATCATGTTGTCTGTTTCTTTGTGTGATGTTTAAGTGTTTTCCATCATACCACAGTATGACTGGGCATGAAATCATGATGAAATTACAAGTAATACAAAAGGTGACAGCTAGTCTCCTTAGCAACCTGGGCTACTGTGTGCACATAACCAATCTGTGTAAACTACCGTGCCAAAGTGAAAGACTGTGCTTATGTGGCATTCACTGGCCAGTCTCAAGATTAGCTACATCATCACCTGAAGCTTTGGATGAACATGGTGTTTGGCAGCTCCAGCAAAGCAGGCTATGTCTTCTTTTTCCCTTGTACCAGTGTAGGAGGATTTTGTTGTGTATAAAATGGGTACAAATGTGATGACGTCTTTGCAGGAGGTAGAGAAAGGAAGTAGCATGTTCTCTGGTTTCAGATCATTTCCCCTGGGGTCTCTGCCTTCATGCCCCACTGGGCCGAACAGAAAGGCAGGAATCAGCAGTGCCTCAGAAAGTGAGATGCACTCTCAGCTCCAGGACTCTGAGAGACAAGGACAGATGTTTCCAAACAAATAAGCGTCTCTTGAGTTCCCTGTAGAGACAGGAAAATAGTGAAGATAAGTCAATGGGGTTTTCCCTTTTTCTACTTCTGTTTTAGAGGTTTTTGCTCTGCAAAGAGTTGCATTGATTTTTAAGGCAGAACTCAGGCATTCCCCAGGACTTAGCTTAAAGTGTGACTGAGAGAACTGTTTTTGCTTCTTTAGGTTTCAAGGTAGAGTGTGGTCTGCTAGCTAACATAAAAAGCAAATTGCCAGTGTGCGCCTTTCATCAAGGCAAAAGCTATAACATCAATTTCTTACTTTAAAAGTTAAAACTACCGCATTTGTGTTTCTTTAAGTAGCTAAATGGAACATTAAAATAGTAAAATTCTAATAAGTTCCACAGAAAGCTGAAAATTCTTTTCGAGCCAAAGTGATCATTAAATTCACCTACATACTGCATACTCACTGTCGGAATAGCCATTCATTTGTACATTTTCTGTGAGGCTGATCTCACTGTAGGCAAGTGAACTGTCTGAAACACACTTGGTTGAATGTTTCACTGGCTGAATTTCTGGAAACAAAAGTAATGCAGAGTAAGGGCCGCTTCAGGCTCTCGTGTTAGAATGATGGAGAATCTCATAGTGTTTAGTGCCCCTTGGTTAGAGTGCCTATATTTTTTGATAGTGTCATTTTACTAGCATATACCATTTTTACTGGAGGTATAACGGTTAGCTGTGAAGTGGGAGACATCTAAAGATAGTTTGTACCTTCCCTCTTCTTTGTTCTGTAGGTAATACACTATCTGTGAAGCTGAGAAAAGCTCAAAGACTCTTTTTAGTTGTTTTATTAGGCAACAGTGCCAGTATCCCTTCTCTTCACCATCCATCACAAATGCAAATCTCTGTGACGCCTATATTATTTTGGCATGACTTGCAAGTAAGCTCTCTAAGAATACTGAGATGTTTAGCAAGTTTTGCCATTGTATTATGGGCCTACAGTTAGAAGCAGCTGTGGTGTGCTTATAGAGGAAAAACTGGTGGTGTCTTTGAATGCAAGAGGCCACAGCTCTGTTCTGGCACTGCCACAGTTATCCAGTGTGACCTTGAGCAGGTGCTTATTTTTCTTCCCTTGAAAATGAAAATATGTTTCTCTGCCTCATAAAGTTTGAGGACAAATACCAAAGTATTTGTGAAGGACTCAGCACAATGATGAGAACCAATCAAGTTTTGAGATGATCGCTTTCAGGAGATGGGCTCTAGTCGTTTTTCAAACAAGCAGCTAAATATCTTTGATACGTTTAAAAAAAGGAAGGAGAATAATAACAGTGCATTTAATTAGTCACATATGGATAAGCTCCTTGCGACTTCTTCTGAGTCACGTCCTTGGAAGCTGACTTGCATATTTTTTAACTTTATTTATTTATTAAGAAATGTCCTTGAGGATACAGGTGATTTTGGGAGCTGTACAAATAAACAATCATCATCAAGAAACACAAACTTCCTTTTCCATCTCTGAGCAAAACTACAATAAAGGAATCATGAAGGGAACTTAAGTCAAAAACAAGTGTGGCCTCTTCAGAATGAAATATTTTAAGCATCTCTAATGGATCTGCACACTGACTTTCTTACAAGTTCTCACAGTAAATTTCAGTTCTGGTCCTTCTCTTTAAGGCATGATATAAGGAAATGAAATTATCATGTAGACCCCTGAAACAAGTGCAGTGGTTTAGAGCTCTCCGAGTTGCGTAGAATCTGACTACAGCGTAGTAAAACTGGTCTTTTCAAGAGATAGAGGGATCTCTGGGATGAGATCAAGAGTACAATAAACTTGGGAATTAAGAAATGTCTCAGAGCGTTCATTCAAGACATTCTGTTGAGGAGAAATGAGATGGGGAAATGATCCTTCTGTTAGCGATGCCTGTTCAAATCGAAGACCCCCTCCTTCCCCAAAACATCTTGTGCACTACTTGCTTTTATTTTTCCTCATTCTGTTTATTTGACGGTTGAGCACAGGGGAATTAATATGTTTTGTTTTTCTTGGATGGTTTGCAACCATGATGCTGACCACCTTCTTATGTCTTACAGCTCACTGGTGTTCCTCAGTTAATAATTGAGAAACACTGGTCCAGTTACTCTTTGAGAAGATTCTTTGACATTACAACAATAAAGGGGGAAATACCATCCTCAGTAGAGTATGAGGAGAAATCTCTTCGGCATACTAATGTGGAAATATTGAGGAGGAAGAGCTATCTCAACATTTGTTACCAACTCTGATAGAAAAATCAAGAAAGGTCTTAATTTTTCTGAACTAATTTGCTCTAGGAAAAAAACATTACTACATAGCAAAGGAATTGACTAAGAATCAACTACTACTGCAAAAAAAAAAAAAATTTAACTTACATTGCTCTGGTATCTTAACCAGCATGTTTATCACGCTTCATTTCTGTTAAAATAAATAATGAGTCCTGTGCAATGGGGCCATGACTCCTAAACTAAGAAATGGACAGGTCCTGTGGGCCCATTGGATAGAACCTCAGCCAGGGGCAGGAACACCTTTGTGAGGTGCAGCTCATGGAGAAAGTAGTAGAGAGGGTAACCTGGAATCAGGAGATTCTGCAGGAAGGGTTTTCTTACAGCAGGCTGTGAGTGGCTCTCTTTACCCCCGGCAGCTCTGCCAGCTGGGTGCTTGACTGCATGTTGGCTGGGGTGCTTGACTTGCATGTTGGCGTCTCTCCAAGGCACTGTCCCCAACTGAAGCCCTAAGATGAAACTCAATCCAATTAAAAAAGTCTCCCCTCTGGGATCAGAGATCTGGATACCCTGGCACGTGCTATCAGAAATTCTACTTGCCTTAAGTACAAATTAGTAACAATATTTAAAACAGTGAGAAAAATCATGGAGATAGATACAAGCAATGTGTATTGACCTGACAAATTTTCAGAGTATTTGTTACAATTGATGAGAATTGAGAAGAGGAGCTTGAGCTGGGATTCCAAATCATGATAGAATAAAAGACACTGACACTTAAGATTTTACTTTATCCCTTTGTGAAGACAAGGGCTAAATTTAAACTTGATTTTGAACCTCTTGTTCAGATGCAGCATTATTTCCAGCTTTTAACTAAGAGTGATTAGAATGCAAACAGTGATTTTAATTGACAGCGTGCATCAAATTTGTGGTGCCAAAGTCTTCGGACGCCCGAGGAAATACTCCCTTTAACTTTGGTTTTCTTTAGACAAGGCACAGACTGGTTTGCTTGGCTGTTTTTTGGATAAGTCTATCCTCATGAATAGTCATAGAAGTAAATAAGAACAACAACAATAAGATTCTTTGCTATTGTAGTAGGTTTCTCTAGGAATTGCTTTCAAAAGCAGAATTTGGTAGAGTGCTGTTCTTGCTGTAGACATTTGAAACCTCCTGTGGAGCATAGTATTTAAAAAAAAAAAAAAAAAAAAAGGAAGGATGGGGGGAGGTTAAAGAAAACAAGCGTTAAGAGAAGTTCTAATTTATTGTTATACTCTGTGGGATTTTTCCCAACTGAGAAGTACAGGCAATGATGAGAGTTTGAAAGCTGCTTAGGCTTTTAGTTGTGACTCACAGAAGTACTTTTGTGTCACAGTAGGATGACATGAATTGTTCATTGAGCTAATACGTTGTTTTCCCCTTTTTTATGATAGGTCATTGCTTGTGAACAGCAGTATGACTACTCTTATGATGCTCGATGTGACGTATGGTCCCTGGGAATAACAGCTATTGAACTGGGGGATGGAGACCCTCCTTTATTTGACATGCATCCTGTGAAAACCCTTTTTAAAATTCCAAGGTATGGCACTAGATGGCTCTCTTGATTCACTAGTTTGTTCGAAGGTAATCTAGCTAGAAGTAAAAGAAATATTTGGTAAACGTTTTTGCTTCAAATCCTGAGAATCTCTCTTTGGAAAATACATTAAAAAGGTGTAATGTTAAAAGGACTTTGTTCAGCCTGACTTCTGCGATAATTTGTGCTTAGGACCACTTGAAATGCTGAATAATAACGTATTTATTTTATTCTTATTTTAGAATATAAATCTCTATGTTATGTAGGTACCATCCTGCAAAAGTGCATATCTTAGCTACTATTGATACAAACGTTTGTTTCAAAAGAGGAAGAAGCCAATGTTTGAAATTGTAGAATAACATTTTTAAGAGTTATCCTCCTGGAGTCTGAAGCTTGTTTGACTGTGGAAGAAAAGCGCACAATTTTGATAGTGCTGTGCAGCAGTCTGCCAGTTTCAGTAATCTGTATTCATTATTTATTTTTTCACTAACCAAGGATGTTAAGATATGAAGATTTAGAGCTTCATACATAGAAATAAAAAAGGGGTTGAAATTCCCTCCATATATATTCATGTGGATTAACTGTGTTATTTCATGCGATCTGTTTTTGGTTTCGTTTTGTTTTCATTTCATTTTCATTGCTTATTCTCCTGAACAAGTTAAGATTAGATTGACAGGGTAAAATAGGGTTTAACAACAGAACAATTGCAATAATAAGAGAAATGTATCAGGAATTTGTCCAGCATTGATTACAGACTAGCGTATACTCGTCTCTTCCACGTTTTACTGGTAGAGAAAGAATTGCCACTGACAGATAACAGTTTAAAAGCTTCAGCAATGCAAGTATTTGACCTTTTGTTATCTGCACAGTTATCGCAGGCTTTTAAAATTTCTTCTGATTGCAATTTGCATTTCTGATTAGGTCTATTTATATGCAGATGCGATTGTGTTGGGTTCTGCGTCATAGTTATCTCCTTCTACCCAGCCTAGACGTGAACTGCCACAACTCTTTCCAAAATTATTCACACTGTTTCATCTCGTTGCTTTTGCACAAGTGTAGAACAGGTCATGGCAATTAAGGCAGCAAGGGAGGTTTCAGATTTCTAAACCAATCCCTATAAATTTTATCAGAGCTTAAAACAGTTTGAAAAGACAGCAGTCGTGTCAATGGTACAAAATAACAGCAAGCAATAGAAAGATAAATAGAATAGGACATATGGAAGCTTTGAGTTGTGTATAGTTTATCTCCTCCTCTAATGACTGTTGCATCTCTGTATCAGGCTGTATCAAGGTGGAGTATCTATTTTGATTAAATAAATAATGGATGAGCTTACTAGATAGGATATAAAATGGTAGGAGTCTTTTAATAATTTTTAAGTTAAATGGTTTTCCTCTGCTTTGCATTTTATGAGCTATAACTCTGCTGCTGCTAACTGTGCTTTCATAAATGGACTACGATGAGTGCTGGATGGCTTAAAGACCTGGGCAACGTGAGACAGATTTTCTTTCCTGTGAATGGTTTGAGATCAATCCAGAGGGAGGATAAATGTGACCAAAAGGTGCATTCCCCTCTTACAGTTGTTGGACAGTTTAGAAGTAATCTTAGTCCAGTTCCTGATGTCTGTGCTGCAATTCACGCCTTTTTAACAGTATTTTCAACAACAGCATTGAGACACTTCCCAGAGTGAAAGTGGTTCTTCCAGGCTGTGGCTGGAGTGCTCAAGCAGCCACATATAGAAGAGAAGCATTGCAGCTGACCAGTCACCGCTGTTGAATCCAATATCTTCTGAGTTTAAGGATCTCGCATCTTTATACTTTCTGTTTTTATGACAATATGCGTATCAGGCTGTAACACTCAAATACGAAGCCAGAGATGGTTTTAGGCAGTTGGTCTCCTTCAGTGGATTTCTTATCTCTGAATTTATCCTGTCCTCCACTGAGCTCATACAAATTCCAATTTTGTATAACGTCTTGTAGCAAAGAAGTCTGTTTAGCTGGATTTTATTGGCAGAACTCCCTCCTTTTACTTCTGCGTCACTCACTAGATTTATTTGATGCACCTTAGCTGCCCTATGAGAAGAGGAAGGGGACAGTCAATCCCAGTTTCCCCTTTCCACATGACATAATGTTGTTGTAAGATCCAATTAAAAAAAAAAAAAAGAAAAAGAAATGGGCCCCTGCAGCTTTTTATTTTTGCCAGCCACTGATTCTTGCTTCTCAGTTTCTTTTCCAGAACTTTCTCTGCATCGTGTATTTGATCCAAAGTTCAGCCCTGTTTTTTGACCTTGTGCGTATGGCCGCACTCTAGTTTCTGACGGAGACATACAACATGTGATTTCTTGACAACAGCTCCTCTTTCAGCTGTGGTTTCTTGTGGTTTGAGATGACACTGGTGAATCAGATTTCAGTTATTGGTAAATGTGCTAATGTACTCAATGTTCTGATACGAAGTGATACCAAAGTGTGTTGCACAATACAGTGTGACTGTGGTACCCTACAGTCAAGCTTCGTTTTACCTGGAAATGAAGAAAGCTGCTGAAAAGAATGAACAGTAAATATTGCTGAAATACTGCACATATCCAATTTCTGTGTGTTCTCCCTGGGGAATTTTTGTTGACTGGACTGATGAGACTTTAGTTTGGAGAAGAAAGGCTGACATTGCCGTTCACAGTGAATGACACTTGGACATCACTCAGGCACAGGCTTACCTGGAATTGTGTCTGTTTTCCCTTACGTGCTTGACTACTGTTGATCCATATCTTTCTATTTACACTGCTGTCTGTGTGCTAGACTGGTCTGTTCTGTGTGCTGCCTGTTTCTTTATGTTAGCAGAGAACTTTGCAGTAGTTTTCATGTTTTATTGTCAAGGAGTGAATAATCAGTTCTCATGAATGCACTTAAAATGTTGAATAGTGAAACTGTCTAAGCTAGATAGGTCTGTGCATGGGATTCTACAGAATTTTTCCTTTTGCCAGGAGGGAAATAAAGTAGTTAAATTTCTATGTCAGTTCAGTTATTTTCTTTTCTAGAGACAGCCAATAATTGTGCTATTAGCCTTTGCACTGAGTTTCAGACACTTGTTAGCAGCAAAGTGGAATGAGACTGTATATTTGTTTACTCCTAATGCTGTAGGATAGTTGTCTCCCTCTTTTGGGTAGAGTGACTGTTCTTTTGGCTCTGTTGCTGTAAGAAGTGATCCAAAGCCTATACAAGATAACAAATTAGGCCATAAAAGAGCAACAAAAATGATCATGGCGATGGAGAAACTGACTTCTGAAGAGAAAAAAAAAGGGCTAAATATGTATAGCTTAGCTATGCAGTGATTGTGGTAAAAATTATAGTAATACCAATATTTGAATAATGTAATACCAAAGAGGAGGTTAATATAATGTATTTATAGCTGGGATTATTGGAAGAAAATTTAAGAAGGGGAATAGAATGGGTTGAAAAACAGTTTATTGGAATTTTTAAAACCAGTCTGGACAAAACAGCAACATACCGATTTCTCTTGCACGGACGATAAAATGGTATGCATGTTAGGATGGATCCTTCCTGCCTGACTTTTTGACAAAATAATTCAACCTAGGATGCTAAGGCCTTAGTCTTAAATTAACTGCGTTGAGATCAGTGAATCTTCACTATGGCTTTATAGGGTTTGAGTCAACCACTGAATGAATGATTTGTGTGCTCTCAGCCACAACTTATATACCCCCAAGATCTTTGGAGGTACGTTCTGCTTAGATCTCAACTCATGTTAACGAGTGATATAAAATTAGGCATTTACTGCTTTCACGTGCAGCATTTCGTTTAAGCATGAAAAAGGGAAAAGATAACAGTAGCCAAACATCCTACACTTTTTGTGCTCTCTAAGCAAGAAGCAAATAAAGTATTAAATTCAGGTGGCACTGCTTTAGAAAATGAAATATTCAGGAAAGAACAGTTAAAATTTCAATCTTCAGGAAACTTTTTTAGTGCACTTAAATCTTTATTCCAATACTTAAGTAGGCTTCTGTTTAACTCCTCGCCTCCAAAAGCACAGACCTACATCTGAATTCTGTAACCTGAACCAGGGATGGACAAAGCCCCAGTTTGAATGGATCAGAGATCTGCAAATGTATGTGGCTGTGGATACATCATGAGACCCCAGAAATGTGTTGGTCAAGTGGCATTGCTTGGAGAGGAGACCCCTTATGCCCATCTAAATCCAAACCTACTTTGACATCTTTTCTACTTGAAATGTTCTCTAAGGAGGATGTTATTGGAAAACAGCATATCTCACATTAAAATGTTCCAGCTTCCTGTAAAATGTTCTTTCCCCCCCCATTCCAGAGATATATCTCATTGAAAGAATCTTAAAATTCATAATTTTTCCAATAATACTTCTCAGTGCAAGCTGGAATCTGCACAGAAATGACAGGAGCTTGTAGTGACAGCCCTGTGAGTTGTCAAATGAGATAAGAGGCTGATGTCTAAGGCAGCGGTTTGTATTATGGAAAATTCTGAACTGGAACTAAGATGTTTGATTTTTGCGTTCTCAGTTTTTTGCTCTGAGGTTCCTAGCTCTGTATTTTCATTACTCTTTTTCTTTGATAGTGCTCACATCTCTGTCCTTTAGCTTTGCTGTAGGAAGATTCAGATACTTCAGTCTCTGCTCAGTCCCGTCTGCTGAAAGTGTTTCATTTGATTGAGGATGTCCTTAGCAGGACATTGTAGATAACAAGGCCTCAGTCATTCTTCTCTCTCTCGCTCTCTCCCTGTCTACTCAACCTAAGCAGAAACTGTCTTGTCTGATTGCTTTGCCTTTCTAAGAAAAGAACGTGACTTGTGCTTTCTTATTTGTACAGTTCTTTTCCCCCCATCCTGTGCAGGGTAAGGATGTTATTGCAAGGATTCTAGCAAAAGGCCAGTAAATGCTTCTGCTAAAGGAACAGCATTACTTGAAAGACTGTAAACAGATGTATTATTCCCTGTCCTCCACTTTTAATGTGTCTTAAGCTGTAACTACTA